TGATTAGGTGTACAGGTGTTCATAATCAAGTTCTCTGCGAGTGTATGTTGATTGAAGACAGGGCTTTGAGAAAAGATAAAAAAAAAAAAAAAACTTATAAAATAAGCCATATCAGGAGCCTACTGTAGTGCTTCTTAATCCTGTTACATCTAAAATAATCGTGCCATGCTGAGGCACACAGCAACCTTTCCTGTCTTTGGTAAGGAAGTAGTAGTACACATGCCGCTCGTACCCCTGACATAAAACAGCGCCATCCCATGTTGTGCCCAACATACAAAAAGGAACTGAGCTATATACTACTACCGACAAGAGATGATGAGTTCAAATTAACAAACTCTCGTGAAAACCGCTAAAACTGATTAATCTTAAGCACGTTAGCTGAAACTAATCTGTTCAGTAGCATGTTAGCTAAAAAGCTAACATATTTTAGAGACAAACTGGTGTAATATAAAAACAGGAATATGTAAACCTTGAGCTGTGTGCCAACTTTAATGTATAGAAATTTACTCAAAGAGGGGTACCTTTTTTCTAATCCTCGTCTTAATTTATTAACTGTAGATTTAATTTTAAGGCTATCTGCTAGTTAGCTAGTAGTAAGCTGTCTAAACTGCATATCTTCTTAAACAGTTATTTAAAAAAAAAAAAAGCCAGTAACTACACACCGGAAACGTAACTGTGCATAAAGATAAAAACATTACTTACAGCATTAACGTAGTGTTTCAGTTGGTCTCCAGCTATGAACTTCTGCGCCTTCATTCAGACAAGGTTTATTCGTCCACTTGTTTTCCAGTGGGGGGTGGGCAAAACTCACTTACCTCCTCATCTATTACTCAACATTTATCTGTATTCTTAAAGTTAAAACCTAAATAAGTTATTTCTTGAGGTATTAGTTTGAAATCCTCTGACACGAAATATATAAAATAACAAAAGTTATTGTATATTAGTATAGCATATAGCATCCCATTTAATGCTCATCTGGGCCCCAGTCATAAACCATTAAATACTAAATCCTATTTTAAATTTAGGTGAACAAGTATATGTACAGTATTGGTGGATTAGATATCATAAAGGTAGTTTTTTTTAATGTCACTGAATTATTCTATTTTTATAAAGTAGAAAGATAATAATTTTGGTGGAAATAAAGGTGCTTACTGTAGTTTATAGTAACAAATACAATAATATAGCTGTGTCCAGCAATTATCGGGGTTCAAGCACTTTAAGAACTTTAAGGGTATGCGTAAGGAGATATTATTTAGCAAGTGTGTAAGTGTGTAAGCAAGTGTGTCACGCTCGTATTTTTAAATGACCCTGTTATAACCATCCAAAGACTAAAGTTCAAAATCTTTTCATAAATATTGATGTGGGGAGTCCAGAAAATTGTACTACATCCAGAGAATTGTACTTGTTGTGTTTGAGTGAAAAATGTAGGACTACAGTAGTTCGAAAAAGTAGGTATTTTTCAATAATTACGAATATTTGTTTACATTTACATTTATAGAATTTGGCAGATGCCCTTATCCAGAGCGACTTACAGAAGTGCTTTGAAGTCTCTATCAATAAATACATTCTGATACTGGTTTTGATTCGTTGACTAATTATACATGAATGGTTTGGTTTATCAAAAATCGTTGAATAATTTTTGGTTTTCATTGTCTTTAGATGATCTGAGCAAAATTTAGTTCCAACAAACAGTCTAAAAAAATTCAAAATGATGGAAAATATTTCGCCAACCAAGGCACATTTGGTATCATTCTTTCTGCCAAGAAATATAACCAGACTGGGTACATGACAATAGGCTAACGAAATGAAAAGTTGTTAGCATTTTTAGAAATGTGCTTATATTTTTTTGACCACAACTTTTTGAGTACCTTCAGGGCCTGGGGATGATGACACATACTGAGTTTCGTAACGATACTCCAATGCATTTGTAAAATATAGCTTAACACACAATACAAAATGGCAGATGCCTAAAACATTGAATGGATTAGATTCACAACTGTCTTCATACACACTGATGGGACCTTGGGCAAAGACAGTTCAAGATTTCAAGTTGACCAATGGTTCCATATTTAGCACCAATTTTATGTTTTGCCCTGTTACAGCAACACAATGTAGCCAATTTTTTATGTGTCCTCAGATGCCTACGTATGGGCCCATACGTAAGTGTGTCAATTTTGGTGAAAATATCTCATTCCATTCAAGATATAACCATTTCAGTAAAAGTGGCCACACCCACTTCAAAGTTTTGGCATACTGTCATGAGGTTAAATCAAAAGTTAATTTATTTATTTTTTTTTGATAATTATTGATAATGGTTTGGTTCCAAGCGAAAGAATGGTCTAGGAGTAGTTCACAAAAGAAGGTTTTGAAAAAAATCCAATTGGAGGAAAAATTTTCAGGGCAGAAATGAAATGAGTCTGTGACAAATGGTTCAAAAGTTATGGCCATGTTTGTAAAATGTTTTGTTTTGTTCACTGTGGCGCCACCATGTGGCCAATCACTGTGAGACTTTGTGCAGTTATAGACTGATGGAGTACTACCATCCCTCAAAGTTTCATGCCTCTAGGCCTTATGGTTTGGTCTGTGAGATCAGTTTTAGGGCATAATAATAATAATAATAATAATAATAATAATAATAATAATAATAAATAATAATAATAATCCGTTGCCTGCTTGGCTGTAATTTAATTGGTCTGAACCCTGGCCCACACTGCCCAACACTTGCCCGTATAGGGCCAATGTGGGCATGTTAGGAAGGGAAATTATGTTAAAATGCTGTTTGTTGACTACAGTTAAGCATTTAACAATATAATTCACTCCAAACTCATCACCAAGTTGGAAGATCTGGGACTCAACCTGTCCCTGTGTCAGTGGATTTCAAACTTCCCGATAGACAGACCACAAGCAGTACAGGTGGGCAGACATGTCTCACCTTCCCTCACCCTCAACACTGGAGCACCCCAGGGTTGTGTCCTGAGCCCCCTGCTGTACTCATTGTACACTTATAATTGTGTGGCCATTTCCATCTCTACCACCATTGTCAAGTTTGCTGACAATACTGTTGCAGTAGGCGTAATATCTGATAACGACGAGAAGGCCTACCTAGAGGAGATTAGAGAACTGGTGCCAGGAGAACAACCTCCTCCTAAACATCAGCAAGACGAAGTTGATAGTGGACTTCAGTGCAAAGCAGGAGAGGAGCTACCACCCCCTTAAAATCAATGGGATCTTGGAGTGTAAAAATTCCTTAGCATCTTAGAGGGCATTTTAAAATGCTAAGGAATTTTTACACTTGCACCACTGAAAGCATCCTGATGGAAAGCATCACAGCCTGGTTTGGGAACAGCACCAAGCGGGATAGGCAGGCTCTCCAGAGGGTGGTGCAATCAAGATGAGTGTACCATTCGCACTGAGCTCCCTGACTTACAGTCTATCCATAGCAAGTGGTGCTGGACCAAGGCCAGGAAGATGGTGAAGGACCTCAGCCATCCAAACAATGGACTCTTCTCTCTGTTGCCGTCAGGGAAGCGCTTCCACTCCCTGAAGGCCAACACAGAGAGAATGAGGAGGAGCTTCTTCCCACAGGCCATTTGGGCCCTCAACCAGGACAACACATAGGACTAGACCTTGGACTTGTTTGCAAAACACCCACTATTTCAGTCTGCACAGCAAATATTGCACAAACAAGTACACATATCTGAACCTTATTCAAAATACAGTTGCAGTTGTACTGTTTCTGCCACAGATCTTTGTATCCCTTATAGCATATTTTCATATTTTTCCTTTTCTACCTGTATAGAAGAAGATTCGTTGAAAAAAGATGTCGATCCTATTTTTACATCATGGACAACTCGAAAAAAAAGTCTTTCGCTGCACATCGTACTGTTTATGGTTGTGTATGTAAGCAAATGTGTAAAATTTGAATTTACAATCCATACATGCCCACGCCATGACATTACCACCAAAAACAGGAAGGCCAGATTAGAGTTTGCCAAACGACATCTAAAAAAGCCTTCACAGTTCTGGAACAACATCCTATGGACAGATGAGACCAAGATCAACTTGTACCAGAGTGATGGGAAGAGAAGAGTATGCAGAAGGAAAGGAACTGCTCATGATCCTAAGCATACC